TAAGAAAAACTGTTACTTGATTTTTGTACAAATATTTCAGTTTAACACTTGAAACAGTTTAAACTTGAGAAGTTACAATAGTTTAATAGCTAAAAAAAATTATTTCCTGCCCCCCAGAAACTGAAAATATAGAACATAAAATCTCATATTTAAAATGAGCTCTTCAAAATAGCAAAACCAAATGACGGAAACAAAATTAGCTATGATATTACAACGTGAATGAAAGCTATGTATTTACTTGATAAAAAATTAGATTTAATTATTCCAGAGGTAACTGGGCATTTATTTCAATGGATTGCTTGCTTACGAGGCTTGCAACAAATATTTCTCTCAAGTGATAGTAGTTTCTGTTTTACCAATTGAACAAATCCGTAAACGGAAAACAATAAACACTTTAAAGACGTTTTTTCAGACTTTTAAAAAACGAGAATGGAATGGAAGATCGCCAAGAGAAAGGTTTTGGTTTAGGTTAGAAAAGCTTCAGTTCTCAAAATCTTGAGCCCAAGTTCCTAAGTAGCTACGTCATAAGTGTAACGCAAGCCACGCATCAAAGATTGATCTAGAAATTACGCAGTCCAGAAAAGTAATTGCAATTTTTAGTACAGACAGGAAATACTAAAACTAAAAATGAGGAATTAAAAGCCTGTTGTTAAATTGATTTATAAAACTGATTTACATATTTTTTATCTTAGACACACACACACACACACATATACAGTGTCTCACAAAAGTGATGAGACACTTGTGCTTTACGAAAGGAAACTGTAGTAAAATAAATTAAAAAAACATGTAAAAATGTTTTGTGGGTGTGTTTCGTACTTAAATTTAGTAACAATTATTACATAATATACATTTTCTCAAAATATTAAAATAGTAATTTAATAAAAATACAATTGTTTAGAACGGAGCAAAAAATGGCTCACATATGTGATGAGACACTTACTTTTCCATCAAATATTTATCCAAAAATTTTACTTCTTAAAATGTTTTAATGTTTTATTGGATTTCCTTTTATTTTTAAAACGTTATTTAATCTTCTTGGGATGGATTCGACTAATTTTTTTGTGATTTCTGGAGTGATTTTATCCCATTCTTCTTGAAGCAATGATTTTGATTGTTGTTTTGAAGAAATGGTGTGTTTGCGAATTCTTGATTTTAATTCTTGCCAAATATTCTGTATGGGATTTAAGTCTGGAGATTGTGGTGGGGTTTTTATTATTTCAGGACAATTATACAGCATCCAGAGTCTAACGTTCAAAGCAGTGTGCTTGGGGTCATTGTCCTGGTAGAATTTAAAATCGTTATGAAGGATCAATTTTCGTGCTGAAGTTTTCAAATTTTGATTTAAAACGTCAATATACTTGTACTGATCCATTATGCTGTCAATAAAAAAAAGATTACCAACTCCAGCGGACGACATACACCCTCATACCATAACTCCTCCTCCACCATGTTTTACTGTTGGCACCAAGTTCTGTTTGCGAAATTCTTTCCTGGGTTTTCTCTAAACCAAGATTCTACCGTCAGAACCAAAGATATTAAATTTACTCTCATCAGCATCAGAGTTCTTATTTATGTTGGATTTTGCGAAAGCCAGTCTGAGTTTTCTATTCTTTTCACTTACGGAGAATTTTTCCTGGCTGCTCTACCGTGATATCCAGCAGATCGAATTACTCTTCTAATAGTCTCAGGATTAACAATTACTCCATATATTGCTTGTAAATCAGCAGCAACTTTAGAAGCACTCATTCTTGGATTTTTTTTAATATTTTGAACAATAATTCGCTTTATTCCATTGGATAGCTTTGATGGTCAGCCAGGTCTTCTTTTATCCTGAATCATATGATTCTTTTTATATCGTTTAATGATATTGAAAAGTCTTGAATGACTTATGTTAATTGTTTCAGCAGTTTCTCTAATAGATTTTCCACGTTCAATATGCAAATTAATAACTAATTTTCGAATTTCAGGCAAGGTTTCTTTTCGTTTAGCATTCGTGGCTGCACAGAGCTAAAAAACACAAAAATTCCAAAACAAACTGGAGAGAAATACTACAGACGATTTTATAAATTATTGCCAATTGCTTTTGACTAAAAATAAAAACTCCAAAAAATATTTTTATTGTGGTATGTAGTAGTATCTAATGGTGTCCCATCACTTATGTGAGCCTTTTTTTGCTCCGTTCTAAGCAATTGTATTTTTATTAAATTAATATTTTAATATTTTGAGAAAATGTATGTTATGTAATAATTGTTACTAAATTTACGTATGAAAACACACACCCACAAAAATGTTTACATGTTTTTTAATTAATTTTATTACAGTTTCCTTTTGTAAAGCACAAGTGTCCCATCACTTTTGTGAGACACTGTATATATAATTAAAAATTTGAAGAAGCATAAAAAATTTTACTTATTCTCTACGAATTATTATGAGGTTAGTTTTTTAATTAATTAGAATAATGCCCATAAATATTATCATTTGAAATATAATTTACTTTTTATCAAGTTATCTAATTAAAAAATTAAATATTCAAATTTGTAAGGACTGAGATTATTGGCTTTAATTACTTTATTAATTAATTAGAAAAATACTTTATTAATCAATAACGTGCTGACTACATTTATAAAGGAAATTAAAAGTCTTATGCTTTGTTGACTGGCAATTCTGAGAACCGACTGTGCACGAGGACGTGCAGTAGATAAAGACAATTTGTTTCGTACAGGAGCAGCGCATTATTTTGAAAATCAATAAGGGGCTTATTCATTTCAAAGCTAAATTTAAAGTTTTATGCTATCCAAATGTAATCATCTGAGAATCTGCTGTGTGCGAGGATGAATGGAAGGCAATTAGAAGTCTTAATTTTCTCGCAGTGGCAACACTTGCGAAGGGCTAGCGAAAAAAATTGTTTTCCTGTCTACTGAAAGCATGATCGTGTCTACGGATTTTCTTTTGCCACAACAGGATTTTATGTGTCAAATGAAAGCAGTATACGCTCTTTGATATATAAAAAATCTAGCATCTTATTAATCTCAAGTAAAGTAATAATATCAGAATAAGGGTGTTCGCTGTGTCTCAGCACAGTAGTATTCAAAATATTGGGCTTTTAAGAACAAATGCATGATTGCTATAATGGAGTAAATATAAAAAATTAATATAAAAGCCGTCAGTATAAGACAAACATTTTCTTTCATATTTCTAATTCTCTGTATTTATGCACAATTGATTTAATTTTACCATACAGCAAAATTTGGGAGTAATTACTTAAAAAAAATTAGTTTTTAAGTAACTTCTTTTCCAACTCAAGAAGTTGATTGGCATTTTACCTCAGAATTATAAGCAAAATATTATCTCTAGTCAAAACTTGTTTGAAAATATTGACTGTTTTTCCCGCTTTAGTGAACTTCATTCTTTGCTAGCCTTTAAAATCTATGACAGCAGATGTTTACTGGATCAAAGCAATCAATTAAGGGCACAGAAAATTCTGTTTATAAGCAGACGATATTTTTAGAAAAAAATAGGTTCAGATATCATAGTAGTAAATGCTATCAATTGTCGTTTGGTAGATTTGTTGAAATTCATTAAAAAAGGAATGTTAAAAATATTACAAACGCGTTGTGTACCTGAATGAGATCTAATTTTCATTTAAAATTCTTTATATATCACATGTTTTTAATATGAAAATTCTCCCTTTCTGTTTTTTCCACATATTTTCATATATATTATCCTGTATCTCCATATATATAGTTTCCTGTATACCCATATATATTCCAAATATTAATACGGATATTCTGTAACTCGTCATACTTTTACTTTGTTTAGACTAAATACTTTAAACTGCCGCATACCTCTACTTGACACATTACACGGAAGACTTTTGAGCGACAACTGCAACAAAATGGCTAAGAGCCATTGACTAAAATAAGAAAATTACGCAGTATTCATGGGCTCTTAACCTACACTTAATTTCATCTCTCCTTTGTGTTTATGCCATTTTTCAAATCAGGCCTTAGAAGAAATAAAATATTACTATTTATACGGACGGATTCTGGCTCGAGAAGGAGTAAGAACTTGTCTTATTGTATTTGCTGCCTTGCTCTGATATTAATTATAAGAAATTTAATTTAGAAATTTCTAATTCTCATTGTGCTCAGATTACGACAATAATTTACGTTTAAGAAACAAAATTCTTCTTGTTTTAAAGCATTCACTGCAAAGCTTCCCTTTCTTTACAGTAGAATTACCAGACGCTACGATTCGATTCTTCACACATTTAAAAGTCAAGTATAATATATACTGGTAAAGGCCGTTAATGGCCGATTGCCTTTTATTAAGTGATAAGACATAGACATAGTTATAATATGGACGAAAATATAACGCTGTTAAGTTAACCTAGTGCCAGAGTGTCGCTATGGTAAACAAATATAGTGAATTTTAAAGAGTGCATTTATTCTATTGTGGTTTATGCTCTATCAACGAAGTAGATTTAATTCAGACCAATAAGTTTAAATGAAATGCAAGAAAAATGCATATAATTTGATATTTCGTACAAGGAAGTCATGTGGTGTTACACATCAGGATTTTTTGTTTTAGTGTAGATAATTCTCCACACTGGAATTATTTGAAATAAACGTCAGTATAAAAATTATATTCAACATCAGTATATTTGTATATTAATATATTAATTATATTAGTATATTAATATATGAATTATATTAGTATATTAGTATATTCAATTTAGCGTAAAAAATTATATTCAATATATTTTGTATTATATTGTAAATCTTGAATTACAAAGTGTAATCACTTTGATCACAAAGAGTAAATTCCTTGCAGACACCAACCTTTAAAATTCATGCAAAAAATTTCTATAAATTGGAATTGTTTCCTTTGTGTCATGATTATTAACGTTTATGTATATTTTGACAAATATTTTGAAAATTAAATTAAAAATGTAGGTAAAATATCTTGTTTTGTTTAAAAATTTTTTTTCATTTTAGGGGGAAAAATCGATGTGGTATCTGATTTCTTATCGTCCATATGGCCCCCACGCAATATGACCGCTGCTTTGAGTAAGAATTTTTATAGTAGCAATTTTCTGTCATTCATTTTTTCGTCTTCTTAACATTTTAAAATTTTATATTACATTGAATTTTTAAGCTCATTTAAAAATTCAAGTTAACATTATCTAGAAAGTTCTCTATCTTAAGCAGTTGTTTATACTCTAAACTTCAGTCCTCCCCCCCCCCCCCGAGAGGGTTTGTGGCGTGCCAGTTTCAGTTAAAAACGGCCTATAACCATTTTTTCCTGGGTTTTTTTCCATTCCTTTTAAGAAAAATCTGCATGCTTGTGTAAAATATATTCAGAAAGTTATAATTTCATGTGAAATATCTATTAAAAATATTAGAAGTAGAATATTGCTTTAATAATCCCACAATGCTGCGAAAGATTCGAAACCGAAAACCCAAACATTCAAACTTTTTCTTGTTCCAAGATTTTTGACTTAAAAAAACATAAAAAAATCCATTAAACATTTAAATTCAAAACGTTGGCAACATTAGTTTTAATGGCGTTTAGTGGAAGCGTTCGTTAAAAAGAATGAGATTAATATACAATTTGTGGACCTAAATTATAGTTCTTGTATTTATAGAGAAAGAATATAGTGTTCCATATTTTAGAAATTATTTATTTACGCTAGCACTTCATCTGATTTAAAGGGATTATGGAATCGTATTAAAATTTTTGAATGTTACGCAAATATTTTTTGTCAAATTTTGTAATTTTGAAGAAATAAAATGCGAGAATCAAGGGTTTTAAAAATGTACTTTTTTAATTAAATTTTATTTGCGCTTCCTTAATGAATACAAATTTATTTTTAAAAACTGCATTCTTAAACTTGTTTTTCAATAAACTCAGGTATCAAATTTTAATTTAAAAAAACTCTCTTACTAATTATTTGGATTTGAGAAAATACAGAAATCGTCACCATTCTACAAATTTCTCTTTAACGAGTATCGCGTATTTTGCTTTCATCATCTCTTTTCTAATTTTAATTATTTTGAAAGAATAAAAAGAAAACATAATTGCACAGAATGTTGATATATTCAAAGATTTTTTAATAATAAAAGTCAAAATCTGAAGAGTTCTTTCTATGTTAATAAATTAACTTAGTAAGAACCTGTCAACTTAGTAAGAACCTCAACACTGTCAACCAGCCAGCTCTTAGTCAACCACTGACGGATTAAAGAAGTTGGCAATTAACCGTAACCAGATTAATCCCGGCCTTATCTAAAAAAGCGTGAAGTTTATCGCGAAACGATGAGAAACTATCACTATCGATCAGGCTAAAGTAAATCTCCTACGGAAAACATAAAAAGGAAAAAAAGAAAAAATATGACAGTTTAAAATAGTGATAGCAAATGGTGTCTTCATATGTAAAAACCGTTTTTATCCTCAACAGTGTCTAATTTAATTGTATGTAAAATGAAATTTATAAATATTGTTAAACCATTCTCTAAAGCAGCCGAGCCGTATAAAATCGCTCAACACTGGTGGTTCAGTGCGGGGTTCGAATCCTCGCGAACAAGCTGGTTACAGAGACGTTTTTGTGGTTTTTCCCGTGTTTCTTTTACAAAGTCTTACAAAATCTCTTACAAAGTTACGAATCAGTTTCTCTTACAAAGTCCTCCACGAAGGCATCCCTTCCCTTAGGCAGATAGCCCTTGAGTGCCTTACCATAATCAAGCAAACCAAAAAAACAAACTATCCTTTAAGAATAAACTGCTAAATCATAAAAATAAACTATGTATATAACCATTAATCTTTTGTTGCCTATTAATTTCTGTCAGAATACAAGAGAAGCATAAGTAAAAACTCTGTTCTTTATGCTTTGAAAGGTGTTCTTAAAACTTAAATGCTGATTTTATTTACGTAGCCAAACAGATCTGTTATCCAGATAAAACTACTTAAAAGTTAAGGTAAATTGTTAATAATATTTTATGTTAACTTTAATATGGGTTATTTTTTTAACTGTTTTAGGATTAAACTTGATTTTGAGTTAACCGTGGGCATTGTGTGCATTATTATTCTGGTTAATCTGGAGTCTAGTGTACATTGTATAAAACTAGAAAAGTTACAGAGAACTTAATCGTAAAGGAACCACGTTTTATATATAATTCTGAAGTAGAAATTCATCGCAGCAAGGAGCGCCTGTCGTCGGCAAGAAGCTTGAGCTCTATACAGGAGACAGTACTACTTTCTTTTCGACTTTCAATTCTACCCCCAATTTTGATGGAGAGCGCCACGAGGGGGACGAGTCCGAGAGTTTCCCACCCTTCTACCGCTATCACCAACCTCTCGAGAGGACTTTCTGCTCGCCGCATAAGAGGACACTGTCTCCCATGCCGCACAGACACTTTATATTTACAAGCATCCATGTCTTCTTCGTTCTTCGGGATTTGATCCCGGACCTTTCTTTGCAGCAGTGAGTGTCGCTAACCACTATCCTGGTTGGGCGGCATTTTGGAGTATTTTATTGAGGAGCATAATTTAGATGCATTATTTTTAAACAAGTGATTATAAAAAAGAAAAATATATTTTTGAAAACTGTAAAATCAGTCAGAAATGTTGTACATAAATTTCAGCTTTTATTTATCGGAGATTTACTTATAAGAGCGTGGCTGTTGGCAGTGTCTCCTTTATTTAAGGAGGTTTTGTACATATTTGCTACAATTGCTTCCAGTTTTAATTTACAGCAACATAATCATCCCTTAAACTAATGCTTTACACACCTTGTTTTATTTTAAAATGTTTACACTGAAAGCAAATATTTCTTTCATATTGTTTCTATTGCTGTAAATTCTTGTAAATATTTGTATTTATTTACCAACAATTTGGTTTTTATACTATATTTTTTAAATGATTAATGTGTTGTTTTATGTACTTATTTTTGCGGGATGATTTTAAGTTTTTAATTTTTATTTTATTTAATCTTGAAACTGTGGTTATCTGTTTTAATTATGTATGTTTATCTTATGCTTTAATTTGTATATCTTTTGTTTTGAGCCTATTGAAACTACATTTGTAAGGGTAGGCCAATTCGAACTGAAGATACACCAGAACCTCTCCTGCCGATCCTTAACGATATTTGCCGATTTTTCATAAAATGCGATAATATAGAATATTTAAGAAAACGCATTTTTGAAATATTAGGAGCAATTTTTTTGTTAAGCTTCAGAACTGGTTACCTTCCCTTGAGGAAAGTATAAATATGAAGTTGAATTCAGTTCAGTCATGCTACTTTTGCTACTGTGTTTCCCGCTGAATGGTTACTGCTTTTAATTTTATTCTGCGAGCGAGTTTGATGCTTTACCTAGCGTTCAGAGAGCTTCTCATTTTGTCTGTATTTTATTGCTTGAATTATTTGTAATCTTATCTTGTCTGTAAAGGCTGTTATTCATCTCAGTAAAGTTTTATATCTTCTACAGCTCCCTGATATAATTATTTAAAAAGATCTCTACAAATCTGAAGCGCACGATACAGCAGTATATTGTTATGAGTTTCTGTAATATTAAACTACGCAAATTATTTAGATTGCCTGAATACAAGCTAATTTCAGAAGTAGTTTATATAAACAATTTAAACTTTAATTATTTTACTTAACAGGGGAATGACTCGTATATTTTTCATTTTTCAGAGTAATTGCATCCAGTTTTTGCCTGTAATTGATTAAAATTATGCATTTCTTTAGTTTATTATACTAGAAGAAATCAACTTTAAAACTCCAATTAAAATTTGTTTGTCTATTCCCTAAAAAAAATGCAGACTCAGGATTTTTGAGACCCTAAGTCTATTTAAACAGGAGTTTCGAGATTCAATGATTCTTTTAAATAAACTATGATGCCAACTTAATAAAATATTAAAACTGAAAATCTATCCCGCTTAGGATTCTCCGAAATTGCATGATGCTTCAGACAAATTACTCTTCGGAAAAAACCAAGTTATTTTTATCTATAATAGCATGCGTATGCAGCAAAATATCTAAACATTTTTAATAAGAAATTTCCAGGGAAATTTCGGCACTATCTATCTTATCTCAAAATGTTTATTAATTGTACTTCTGTACAGTAAGTAGTGCAACATAATGGAAGTCTTGAATAACGACGAACGTCTCACAATTCTTATGTGGCACATTACGAATTGCACACAATTTCGTCACCCTGAATTCGGATCTAAATTTGTTTTATTTGCGTTTTTATAGCTTAAATGCATATGTAAATTAAAAGAAAAGTCTTTGCATAAACAACTATAATAATAATAAGAAAAGAAGGAAAATTTTTAAAGTATTTTTAAATATTACATCATCACTGAAGAACTGCAAGTCTTCTTGGCCAGCAGAAATTTAAATGAATATATAGTTTATAAAGCAAATAACCTATTTAACAAGAAGGAGAAATACTATGTGACAACCAAGTAGTGGTATCCTAATAAGCTGAGATGAATAGAGCATACTGTTGAATGACGATGCCATCAGTTTTTTTCACGACCAGACTGAAGAAGATAGAGACCACTTCTTGAAAGCTGATCCACTCAATAAATAAATAAATAAATAAATAAATAAATGCACATGCACAAAAAAGTAAAGGGCAGCTAGGTTTTCCACCTCCAAGAGGAAGACTAGACAGATTCAAATCAAACTGAATTTTAAAAAATTACGAGATTGCAAACGCAGGTTAAACCAAATCAACTCAAAAGCTATTTGGATATGGGGAAGGATGCTTTCGCGGAGGCTTTTTTCGTTGATTCTTTTCTACATTATATATTGGGTTAGCCATGAAAGATCCCAACGCAGCCAGGCTTTGCGGAGGAAATCGAGTCCGGCACCAAAAATTAATCTCATCCCTTCGGTAAACATCGTCGCGCATGAATACTGCAGTTTCATACTTATTTTCCAGATGAACCTATTATACTATTAGTAAATGCAATAAAAATATCGCTTAAATGTGAAAAAAACAATTCACTTTATATTACATGCGATTGGACATACTGCAGGTATTCATTTTACCTTATGAAC